AAATTGTGTAAAAACTTAGTTACCTAAGATGGACCAATGCATATTTTGAATAGTTAAATATGTGTATTACTAGATTCAGTCTTTAAAAATATATATATATAAATTTATATATATTTTTAAGAGTTTTGGAAGCAAATTGCACCCATTCGGTGGTATTATCATCGTCAGATCTGCCTACATGCATTTGCAAGAGCATGTGGTTAAAAGGCTTTTGAAAGTCAAAAGACGACTTGCATAAAAGTTTTTTTTTTTTTAGCATTGCTAATCCATGTTGGTTTCAAACACCCACTTTTTTTTCTTTTTAAAGATATTTTAATAGTTTTTTTTTTTTTAGCTGAAAAGCCAATAAAAAACTTGGAAGCTCAACTTTAGTTCGCTTTTCATATTATTAAAACGCAGGTTCTTGTTGTGACAACTTGCCCCTGCGGGAATGCTCAATAGCGTGTTTTATCAAGTCAAGATGCCCGTACAAAAACTGACTCAACCCCACCCTGGGAAATAGTCGCTGAGGAAAAAAGCGTCTCAAATAGCCCTATAAAGGTTTCTGTGCAATTTTTCGAGTGCGGGCCAGTTTGCAAACTAAGTGGCGTATCGGTACATCTTATTATAGTACTGTCTTTGGGATGCGGCTCTACTGCGCATGCGCCGGAGCGCTTCAAACGCCGCTAGTGGACTGCTGCAGCCGCGTGGAAACACTGCACAGCGCACACCTCACTCAGTTCATAACGCGAAGGTGGCGAGCCCGAATCAGTGCTTTTTTTGATCTGTCCTCCTCCATCGTTCTCAAACTGGTTTATTCACCATATTCACGCCATGGCCAACAAAGAGGAGAAAGCTGACGAGAAACAGTCCAGTTGGAAAGATTTCATCTACAACCCACGGACGGGGGAATTCATCGGACGCACCGCGAGCAGTTGGGGTGAGTAATCGTGTTTTTTTCTGAAAAGTGTCAATCGCACGCCATACAACTGCTGTTCAGATCTCAAAAACACCAGACTACCTATGCAAAAAGCGCAGATAACTCGCTATATATCTGCAGTGCTTGACTGAATTGCCCCATAGCTCTGTTGCATTGAAATGATTTCTCCTCTTATGTGCTGGTCGCTTACAATCAGTTACATTGTGGCAGCGTGTGCAAGTCACCACACATTAGATCTGCGGGATTCCTTGAGATGCATCAAGCCGTGTACGCCAATGTAACCGATTAAAACACTCAGTTGCGACCAAATCCATAAGCTGAAAACCGAGATGCCTGTATAAAAGCTCGCGGATTTCCGCGATTAATCGGCTTTTAATTGAACCACGCTGCAGATATTCGCGTTTGTGTCCTGCTGTTTCACACGAGGCTCAAGGTCTATGAATAGCTCTCCTGAATGTCATCACTGCGCTCTCTACAGCAGGCCTGTCACATTAGATGGGAAATGATGCGTTGAGGTAATCATTTGTACTAATATGCGTCGGTTATTCGTAACTCGATAATGGCGGTTGCGAACTCGCACCTGCCTCGGTTTGTTCATATTAGCGTCTCTAGTTTAATATTTCACTCGTTCGGGGAATGGAGAACAGTCGCGGGAAAAAAAAAGAAAAAAAAAAGGCAACATTGGATTCGGAATGTTGCGATTAGTCGCGTTCGAAGTATGGAATGTTCCGGCTGTCAATCACTCGCGGCCGCGCTGACGTAGCCTCCGCATTCATTCGATATGCAAATGAGCGTTGCTGAGGTTCACAGCCCTGCTTGAGAGAGAGAGGATGAGAGGAAATTTCCACATCTCTTGACACAGTTGCTGCACTGAGGAGAAGATGCTTTCTGTTCTCATTTGAAAGCATCGCCTATTCTCTTTAGAAAGACTGGCTGGCCTTGTTTTGTATGTAGATTCTCCTCAAAGCTGCAAAGTGTCCATAATTATCGGTGAGGGTGGGGAGCAATTTCTTAAACACCCAGTTGCTTGGTAACCGGCTTTGCAGGAAACTATTTCCTTGTAGTTGTGCCCCTCGGTCAAGGTGGTGTTCGTGATGCTAAACTCTTCTTCAGCGGGATGGGTGTTCCTCGGCTGCCCCCCCTCCCCGTCCTCTCTCAAGGTCAAACCGCTTCTCTTCACGCTCCTGTAGCGATAGGCCTCGGGAAGGAAATCGATTTAGTTCAAATGAAATCGAACCTCCAGCCTTGAGGAATATGATGTATATACAGGTCTTTTTTGTGGATTGCTTTACACGATGAGGCCTAGTCATTCTGCTGAGCTGGGCTTTTTCTTCTAGGCCCGTGTTCATGTTCACAGTAGAATGCCTGCACTGGCACTGATAGAGCTATCTAGAGTGCTCGATGGGTTAATGATGGTCTGTGGTTGACGCAAGTGCAGCTTTCTATATCAGCGTTATATCTTAGCTTGGTTGCGAATTCTGTTTGTCAGTCTTTTAAATTTGTCTGCTAGGATCATTTGAACTGGTTAGCGTAGTTTTGTTGAAATTGCAAGAATGACTTGTGGTGATCTTGGTAGCATCAGTGAGAACTGGAGTGAAAATTACAAACCAATCAGTATTTATTTATTTTATTTTTTTCCATGCATGCCATCATTTTCCAAAAGTAGTGTTTATGAATGAATGAGTTCCTGTTTCATTGGAATTACTGTATAATTTCATGGTTTGCAATTAAAACGCATCATTTGGTTTAAAAAAGAAAAAAGTGTGTGAATGTATAAGAATTTTAATGTATTATTCAAAAATATTGAATGTTAGCGTAACAATAATTAAAAATGTAAATACAAATGCATTATCAAAAAAGTATATGAAATGATAATGTATAAATGTTAGGTTATTTTAGGCTAGTGTTTTACAAATAACATATAATACAAATTATTATAATTATTTCACATGCTTTATTTATTTATTAATATTTTGGGACCAGTACATTTTGGCAGTAAACAAATGGAAGCAGAATTTTATTGTATTTTATTTAAAATTCATTTGAAATAAATTAAAGCCATTTTATTTTATTTGAATTCTTTTTAAGTAGCCAAATGGGATGAGCCTCTATGGTCCTCTCTAGAATAGTCTATCAGTTGGGTTTGTGAGAGAGGCGGCCCGCCCATTAAAATTGTATCCAAAGCCAAATAAAAAGATGCCTGTACCATTTTTAAAACATCTCCATCGCTTGCAGTGTGTCTACTGTGTTTGGGTCCCAGAGTGACGGTAATTGAAAAAAAAAAATGTGCACGTAAGAGAAAGCGTTTTGGTGCCCGGTCTGCTTTTAGTTTTCCCGAGGGGAAGTGAAGAAGGTGGAGTGATGGAGGGAAGGATGGCTAGTGAAGAGATAAAAGGATCAGGTCTGGCTCCGCGAGACGTCTGCATGTCCGTTTAGATCAGCTCAGATTAACGCTTCCCAATCTGCTGTTGATTTAGCAATCACACTGATCTGTCCTCCGCGACTGGGATTTGTGGCGATGCGCTATGATGAGCCGCTGGGATCTCAGGAAATGTTTACCATGGGTAGTTTAAACGGATGAAAGAAACGTTGTTCTCATGTGGCAGCGATGCTTTCATATGCAACAAAGACCTATTTCTGCGTTTCATCAGTGACACTTCCTGCTCCTGTTTGCCCCATTAACACGGCCCTGATGTGATTTGATCGTGTGCGTTCAAGCTTGTTTGGCTTGAGCTTCACAATGTCGTAATTGAGGAACTGCACAAGAGTGGCTTTTCATTCACCTTTTCAATTTTAAAGGGGTCCTATTATGCTTTTTCACTTTTTGAATTTTAGTCAGCGTGTAGTGTGTATTTTTGGGCATAAAAAAAGATCTTCAAACTTACAAATCTCAAAGTCCACTCCAAAGGGAGATATTTCGTTTTTAAAAAATCCCTTTTGAAGAACTACAACGAACGGCGTTGTTTTCCGGGTTTTGTGATATCACAAAGCGGCCTATTAGAATATCATTAAAATAATTTCCGCCTACGGAAATTCGAATGGTTGGGGGGTGGGGAGGGGCGAGGTCGTGGTTAGAACGCTTGGTTGAGTGCATCACGCCCCATTCACACGGGGCGTCAGCGTTAACGCTTGATGGAGGGCGTTTCTGAAGCTTGGTGCTGACACGACCGTCATAGTGACAACAGCCAATCACATTAGTCTTCTGGTGTTGCATGAACGCGATTGGCTAGCGTCTGTGCTAAGGTATTTGCATAAGGCGATCTGATTGGCTGACGCCTGCGTTGGCACTTGAAAAGTTGAAAATTTTTCAACTTCTGCCGCGAGCAGTGGACCCAACGCGACAGACCCACAATTCATTTCGCCAACGCTTGACGTCACTCTATTCAAAGTAAACGAGAGGTGACAAGACGATGACGACGAAGTGCTGCTGTAGCCTCAAGTTTTCGCAAGTTATTACACATGCACCTGAATAATTATGTTTGTAAATATGTGTTACAATTATGAAAACGTTTTTATAATAAATTGCTGACAGTACAATACTGGACAATGATGTAATCTGCAGAATTTACACTTCAATTATGAGACTACAGTGTTTCCCATACATTGAGTGCGGGTGTTTTTATATCACTGTATTTCTGAAGGAAACCGACTGTCTTCAGAAAATTGGATGTCATTTTCATTTAATCTTGCCTGTAATGTCTGATAAAGCAGTGTTTTTTTGAGCGGACCGCTGCTGTGTGTGTACAGCCGTTACCGGGGAAACCTTGATCTCTACCACTCCCAACAGCGCCTTCCTGCTGGCAGAGAATGAGCTTGTATATATATGGCGCCTGGGAAACACGACTATGGTATAAATAAATTCAACTGTATAACAGTTTCACTGCAATTCATGTTATAATGTTAGAATTAAATAACAATAAAAATAATACATATGCACTTATCTGTACATAGTAAATGCAGTTATTTTTAAGCGGTTGTTGACATCCTATCTAAAACGTGATTTAGCCAAAAAAAAAACAACAATAACGTTACCACTCTAATATGTCTTGCAATATCCGTGCGTGCAAAGGTTCTGCGCGATCCTCAATGTTCAATATTCTCTGGGTCTGAATCCGGCTCAAATTGATATGGCAATATTGACGCCATCCTTAACTAAACGCAGTTTAGCAGACTAAAAGCAGACGGAAATTGCTGCTTTGGCAAGGGGCGGGGCAGTACTGAAACGCCGTCTAAGCTGTTCGCCAATCACAATGCACTGGGACGGCTAACCAATCACATCACATTTCGTTTTTCGGAAGGCGGGCCTTCATCAAACCCGGAACTAATCGAGCCGTTTGTGCCAGGCTGGGGAGAAAGGTATTGTAATAATGTAAATTATATAAAAAATAATGCGTTTTTCGAACCACCAAGGATGAGAGCATGTTCTAGTACACCCCCAAAACAAAATCAAGACATTGTAAAAGAGCATAATAGGACCTCTTTAAATGGAAAAATGGCCATGAGCCGTTAAAGGAATAGTGCACTCGTCATTCCAAATGTAGCGTATGTGCTTATTTTGACCATGGAACGCCATTTTTGAAACATTTTTATGCAAACAGTGTTTGCTATGGAAGCATATAGGTAGCAAAATTCAAATGCAATATGCAAAATAGCATTGCAATATTGAAAATGACAACGCAATATTCAAAATGGCAATGTATTTCTGTATTTAAATTTACATTTTCCATTACCCACACGTGCAAAATTTGTTGCAAAATGAAAATGAAATTATATAATTTACATTTGCCATTTCCAACAGTAGTCTTAATATGTAAACTGAATACAAATGTTAACGCTTTATAAGTTGCAAAATGAAAATGAAAATCTATAACACAAATTGATTGGATATGTATAACATGTCCAAGCAGAAATGGTAGCAAAATGATCATTTAAATGCTATTTGTCCTAAATGCATTTAAACTAACAGTTAGAACACTTAGGATTCCATTTTCATCATGACG